AATAAGATGAGCCCCACTGACAGAGCATGATCTAATTATTTTATCACCAATTTCTCAACACAGCAGGGCCTTTTTTTTTTTAAATCACATGGGCAAATCACCAGCTTTGCTTAGAGCCTAATGAACATTTGTGAGCCTAATTACTCTCACTCCCTTCTAGCTCACATGATGAGCAGATTACATTGAACTTGCCAAATTTAGCAAATACAGCAAGTAGTAATTACTGTCAGATTTAGCGCAGCACTTTCTGTGTCCCATCCCTTAAGAATTTCTGAAGACATTTTGCCTCGTGCAAGGAAATTTCAAATAGTGTGTTGTAGACTTAAAACAAAACTCAGATAGCCTTGAACACACATGCAAGCGTGCATGCTTGCATACTCCCTCCGTCTGCACCTTTCTCCCCAACAACCCAGACACTCTCCCCTGCTTTCACGCACCTCCTCAGTGCGCTCCACGAGGAGCTAAAAATAGATGACAGTAGGACTAAAGGGCTAGAAGAAGGGAAGGAAGAGGGGGTAGAGAGATGAGAATGGAAGTCGAAACAAGCAGCTCATCAAGAAAGATGGAGGACATGGACAAAAAGAATAGAAAACGGTGCAAGGAAAAACAGTTGTAAAACAGGAGAAAAATAAAGCATAATGTCATATCACTTCTATCAGTAAGTCAGAACTATTTACAGTGTGAACTATGACTCCTTATGTAAGACGTCCGGGACCTAACACAGCTGGCAGCCAAACTGCAACTTTATCCCACTGTGTAGCACAACAAATCGTATTTCGACATGAATATACATAAATAATCAATGATGTGTAAGGAGTTAGTCTATATAACAGAGTGGGATTTTATACTTCTGCTAAAGTTAGGTGAGCACAATTAATAAACAAATCACTATTGTGACAGACTGGCGACCTGTCCAGGGTGTACCCCGCCTTATGCCCATATTCCTCCATAGATAGGTACCGGCCCCTCTGCGGCCCTGACGGAATAACTTCCTTACTAATAATCAATAATGCAGGGTTTACTCCTACAGCCAGGACTTACCTGTCAAACAACTATACAATGTAAGATTTACAGCTTAGACATTAATAAAAGCTACAGCATGTAGCCACATGGTGTTCAATTCAAATTCAACGCCATGTGAATTGTAAAGTTCCTTGAGATGACATGTTGTGAATTGGCACTATATAAATAAACTGAAATGAACTGAAACACCAATGCAAGACTCTTATTTACACATACGAAGCGAATAAAAATCAAGCTTAAAAACATGTCTTAACTCTCTGTATTCCCAAACTTGTTCTATGTTGTGTGGAAAAGTTTTTTTCCAAAGGAAGACAGTTTTCTTCATTGTCATCATTCTGTGTGCATTATGCAGACGTTGAGTGTAGAAGTTTATATGCAGCATTACAGCATTGGACAATTGGTATTTGGTTGCAGATGACAGTTGAATGGCATGGCATCGTGCTCGATAACTTGTACAAAAAAAAAAAAAAAACATTTATTTGAATCAACAATAAAGGTATGCTGTTGCGGATCAACGACTATATATGGAAATTTTATTTAAAAAAGGCATTAAAAACTATTAGTTTACCCATTTTATTATTGTCTAACCTACTTTGGTCACTTTACTTAATAGTCCCCATTTACAAAATGTTGTTTTGGTCAAAGTGGCAATACTGTTCCATACATCAAAACTGTAACAGTATAACTTTTTGGAAAAATCAAAGTTTCTGCTGTTATGTAAAGCACATACAGAAGGTTTTTGTACACGTTAGCATAAGGTTTCATAGTGAATACCAATTTCTAGTGGCATTGCAAGAAATGTACAGTTTTGAACATTTCTACTAGTATTGTATCCACTGGGTTCTTAATTTAAATGCAGAAGTTGGTACTAAAAAACGTATTCTATGGAGTTTAAAAATCATTTATGTACTTTGATTTTTGCTTTGTTTTTTTTGTATCCAAAAGATTTGAGGAATTATATTCAACAACAGGCGAGTGCAGGGAGTGCACAGGAGCTATGTTTGTTGCTTGTTTAGGTGCAAATAAGGTTTAATCATTACGTTTTGAGAACTTAGTAAATTGCTTTGCAAATGCAGACATGATTGTTTAGTTTCCTGTTAGAGGGATGCAAATTCTGTAGAGTGACCAGCTCTGGATTCGGTTTCCAGAAAAGAGAATAAATTGATCATAATGGGTATGTGTTTGCTGTAACATTTGCAGCAGACAGGAGTCAGATACCGTGTTAATTTGTGGTAAAAGACAACTGCCTTGGCAGTTTGTCCAACATACTGCCATTGACACCCTTCATGAAAGCCTGGTTTATATGCCATGCACTGAACATAAGTGGGTCGACAGCATGCAGACATGCAGTCACACACCTCCGAATCATCTGAAGGCAGCAAATCATTTTGCTTAGGAAGCATGTTTTTAAATCAAACTTTTTCCTTCCACTCAACCAAAAGCACTCTATGGACAGCCATCATTAGCGAAGGCCCACTGTGTCTCTCCCTTCTTGTTAAAGGTGACAATTTCCCCCAAAGGGTGGAACATGACACACAAATAGCATAGCATTTGTACATTTAAAAGAAACCCTTTTTTATATGTTTTTTTTTTTTATTGGTCACATGTAACTTTAAAACTTTTGCTCGAAGGTGAATTCTGTTTTATTTAGTGCAAGGCCTAAAAACAAACAACAAAATAATGACTTTAAAGTAATAAAAACAGCTATTTTTTTCTTAATAGCTAGAATACATAAACCAATTCATTTATATTTAACTGTTCTAAATGCCTGATTCAGCTCCATCCTACTGATAATCGGAGAGCAGCTGTAATATGAACCACAACATGAGATCCTACTAACATGCAGCCACCACCACCAACATCTATTTCTTCTAAAAGCAGTTTTAGCAGTAGGATTTTATTGGAGGCATCAGAGGAAGGGAGGAGTAATAGAACTTTAAATTTTTTGACACAAGTCAAATAAATATGAAATATTTACTGAGAAACAGCAGGTGACACATAAACTAAAATACCTACAGCTTACCTTTCAGTTTAGCTGACATGCTGGATTACTTAAGACAAAAAAATATTTTACACACAAATGTGTAAACAGTTCTACTTTAGTAAAGCAGCATTTATTCTAAAACAACTTTTTTACATCCCCTGCATTTCAAGTGAGACTCAATGTGAGCACATAACAGTATGTCTGTCATATAAAGGGGGTTAAATAAGAACCCACGGGTTCACAGTTAAAGATCTGTTGCCTCTTTGTCTATGAGGGTAAATCAGATTTGAACAGAGGAAGATGGTTATAAAGCCGGCTGAAGGCAACGAAGAGATACAATCAAAGACGAGGCTCAACAATAAAAGCACATGTTGCAAATTAGAACAGTATAGCCATTGTATGCAGTAGAGAGGAAAAATACATTATTTACTGCTGTAAAAATATTGATATGATAATAGGTAATATTTCCATAGTATGATACAGTACAATTATCTACATAGTTTTTTATTTACCAAACATGTTGGTAAATGACACATTAACCAGCATATCGCCTTCTTTTTTCATAAAGTATGTAACATAAAGCCTAGAGATCAGTTACTTATCAATGTGCACCAAAAAGCTCACAACAGGCAAGGTTAGGAAAGCAGAAGGTGAAAACAAGGCAGCCGCTCAGAAAAAGTTTACACTTTTCTATCATTCTTGTTCAAAGTTAACAAGCAAAACAAAAACAAAAATCCGACTGAGTACGTCTGCTGCTGAAGTGCGTATCTCGAATGCTTAAGAGTCTCTGTAATGAATTCCTTTGGTGCCTTCTGTCCAGTGGCTATTCACTGTTATTGAAGTCAAATTTAAAGAAGAGATTCCTTTCATACCATCCATGCCTAGAGGAAAATAACAGGAGTTCTGTGACATTTAGCTGTAAAAACTCCCTTATAACTGACTTTTCCCTGATGATCAGTACTTAAATAAGATTTAACAGGTATATAAGCACATGCTTCATGGATATACGGTGATGAGAAAAGATCTGAGAAGGAATTGGAATGAAAGAAATTAGAAAGGCCTGGATGTCACCTCCTGGGAATGCTTTATGGAGAGTTGCTTCTATATAAGCGTTTGTAGTGATTTTGTGTTTCAACTGTTTGAAATTAGCTTTTTTTTTTTTTAAAGCATGGCTCGTTTCATAAAATGGGATCCTCAGCTTAAACAGAAATATCAGCCCTATTATTGACAAGTGCAGAGGAAAAACTGATTTCCCTAGCAAATCTCCCCTCACAATCATAAAAGAAGAGTTAGGAAAATTACTTGTTTGTACATAGGTGATATCTATATTGCAGAAAAAAGTACAATTTGAATTTTCATTGAGCAAAGAAAAAGCTTTTCTGTTCTGGACAGAAGGTGATCCGACACACTTATCCATAATACCATGAACATCACAAGTTTAAAAAAACATGTGAGACAAACATCTTATGAAAGATGGCCATTGGCGGACCCTGAGGTGTGCTCCTAAATAAGTACAAAGAAATCAGGATGGTTGCTACAAAGAACAATAGTAGCAGTTTTCAAAATGGTGAAAAAGAGAGAAAAAAAATGAAAGATGTGTTTAGGAAAATATCTGATTCATGAGCATCCAACTTGGCTGTCATAATTTAGAGAAACACACCAGTTCTTTTTCAGAACCAGTACCACCAGCTCCAGTTAAGCATAGAGAAGCATTCAGTTGGAAACTTGCCATCAACTCCAACTTGTTTCACATTTCCCATTGAATCAAAACCAAAGCAAGATGCTGCCACCACCATGCTCCAGCATTGAGATGGATTGCTCAGTCTGAGGTTAAACAACTTGATTTCGACCAGCAAGTCTAATGTTAGTCTCATTGGAACAGGAAAACTTCAACATTTACCCCACTTTTATTATGCGTTTCATACAAAAAAAGAATAAGCAGCTTATGTGCAAAGTTGTGCCAATTATCAACATTTCCTCTGCGTAGTCCTACCTTTGTGATGAGAGTTCGGTATTCTTCTACCAGGTGGTCGTTGTTATGGCAACCTGCCAGGAGCTGCCACACCTCCCCACGGAGTGCCTCAGGGATGCCGCTCCGCACCAAAGCTGGCAGCTGTTTCGGTCGCACCGACAGGTTCATGTGCCTAGAAGAGACAAAATGGAAACAAAAACCAATGATGTTAAACCACCATACTTTTCTTTTTTGCTTCTTTCCTCATTTCAAATTAGTTTGGCAGATTCTATGCTTATGTTGCTGTTTGGGCAAACTAAAGTGTTTTTCATGGTCGTATAGAATAGAGTTTTATCTCCACTGACAGTTTATATGTACAGGATTATAAGAATGAGGGATCCTTATGAAACCCAAGACAAATAAAGAAAGATTTAGCTGCAGGAGCTCTCACATTCCGCTAAAGGATGCAGTAAATCCTGGATACAGACATTATTTAACACAGCTACAAGCTATTTTTTGCTCATGTAGGCCCTAATATTCAACTTAAGACAGCGCCTTATTTACCCTTTAGTGTAGCTGTGCTTTATTTCACCAGTCACCCATTTATGGGAACGGCAGTAAAACAATAAATATAAAAGGCGGTAAATCAACTGATGCACAGTTTAATGTTTTGCTTCTTTCTTGTAAAACACATTTAAATGTTTTATATGCCAGGAAGCCATTTTTTCTAAGGCAGATGTGGAACAATTTAGGAATCGTGTAACTCAGTGTTGTGACATAGACATTTCTCTGCTTCCTATTATTTTTTTTTGCCATGCTTATGTTTAAGATCATCATATAATTTTTTAAATTCCAGATAATAGTAAGTTAAGGAAAAAAAACAGGCTCTAAAATGCTGATTCCAATTACTGAGGGGAAACAGTTGTACAAACAAATCTTTTCTACAGAGGTAAAGTAATCCTCCACCTGCTAATTCTTTCACCAAAACCTCTAAAATAGAACCTGGCTGACAACATGAAGGAAGCTAAAAGAGAAAAATGTCACTGATATTTTAGTTTGAAAAGGATCAAACTCTCTAAGGCTCCAGTTAAATAAAATGTATCATTATTCACCAATAAAGACAATGTGGTGAAATGTACCACCTCAGCTTATAATTATTATTAGTAGTAGATATAAGCTGTTAAATTATGTGTAAAGAAAAAATAAAGCATAAACGGAGACAATCTTTAATGAGGCAAATGCTTTCTCACAGCACTGGAATCTCAGAATCCCTTTACCCATCTTCCATAATTTACCCAAACCTTTTTCTTTTATTGTTTTCAAGAGGTCACGTTACATAACTCATGGTATTTTCTACAGACAGAGCAAAGGTAATTTTTATTTGAGCGTGTCCATGCATGTGATGCAATCACAGCCAGGTTTTTGTCCTCAGGGAATAAAAAAAATAAAATAAAAGAAACTGTAAAGCTCCTTTCTGTGACTTGCTGACCTGCTTCAGCTCACATGGCAAGAACACAGCCTCTTTATTTACGAACAACCAAAAACAAAAAAAAGTATAATGATAAACTAACCCAAAGGGTTGGGCTGATATGATTCTCGTCTTATGATTCCTTTTCAAATTTCAGGTTTATTTTCATCTGAGACCAAACAAAAATCCACACAGCGCCATGTTTTATTTTACACCTTTAACAGAAAAAAAAAACTTTAAATCTTAAGTCATAATAACTAAAAGAAAATTAGAAAAAGTAAAATTAAAATGAAATGTAAATTGAGTTACAGATAAAAACAGAAGTAAGAGCTGATCAAAAGTTTGTACTTTAAATGATGAGTGGTGTTTGAATTCTTTTCACATACTGTGACTTAATGAATTTCTGAGGCAATAGCTCAATCTGTTTGCACACATAATTATGCTCCCCTGTTGGGCTATTATATAACATTTATCAGCTTCAAACTTTATTTTTCAGTTACTTAAGCATTTTGTGTATTCAACACAATAAGCCAACGTGACCAGAAGTATGATATTGTGCATGGGTGAAATAGGGAAACGAGGATGTAATGGAGCCGAGAACTCTTAGCAGAGGTGTGAAAAGAAAAGTTCACAATGAGGAGTGAAAAAGAAAAAAATATAATAATTTGGGCAACCTTTTTTGGTGGGATTCTCCATCGTCTTAAGTTATCAGTAATGTTATATTTCTCATTTTATTCTGCTCTTATTTTGACTGAGCATGACCTATGGGGCAGCCGCTATACTACAGTGCCCATGATGCATTTCAATCCCGTTTCTGGGAGCCTTTTTGAAACATGGAGCCACTCTGTCACATAAAATTGTTGTAATATGTAAATTAATTGAGAATCTACCTGAATATTTTAATTTATAAGTCATCCTGGAGTTTAGGTCGCAGCCCCGGGGCAAAACATGTAAAAAGAGCATCTTATCGTCCAAATAAAATACAGTATGTGCATTCCATACAGAAAAATCAAGTGTAAAAGAAGAAGGTTTAAAAGGGAAAAGATACCCACCATTTGGACAACAAGTCTCCCCACGTCTCCAGGATCTTCTCTGCACACTCCTTTGAAACGTCCCCAGATCCACTGAGTAATGGCTCGTCGTTATCTGAACACAACGCAAATAAGGAGCAATTATTAATTTGTCATGAAAAAAATATATATATATGAGGAGTCAATATAAATCTGACAATCGAAATTTTTAAGCAGAGCTTTATCAACTATTTTTAAAATATTTTTAAAGATACATTGTATGGTATTAAGTAGAAAAGAAAAAAAGAAAGGTTACGTCATGGTTATAGCACCAAGAGATACAAAATAAGCCTACTGTATGACAAATTATGTCTTTTTGTTGGTTTTTCTAACTCTTACAGTCCAGTAAAAGTCCCTGTCTAAAACCTGCCTGGCTGTTATGTACCCAGGACAATACAGAACAAACAGTTCTGTTAGATTTCAACTCCTCTCCAGACAACCGTCTAAATTTGGTGCTGCCTCACAGGAAGGTTTGATTCTTCAGTGAAGTTCTGTATAATATATAAGATGAGGCTAAGGAGGTCAAGGCTTAGCGGTTCCCGACACTCTTGTGTTAACAAATTCATCTCCTACTTGGATTCAGTTTTCTGTAACAGAAAGATGTCTGATCACCTTCCTCTTCATCATCCTCGGGTGGCGAAGGAGCCATGGTGCCGGGCCCAGAAGAGAGGATGCTAGGACTAGCTGTGGTTTTTCTTTTTTCTCTCTCCGTCTCACTTTCCAAACTCACCACCTCATAAAGTGTGTCAGAGGAAGGACTCTTTCGTTCTTTTCGCTCCATCTGAGAAGAGAAAGTATTGAATTAATAATGGGAAAAGATAATGTGATGCTTTTTTTCCTTTCCAACCCATCTTGCGGTTAAATGATTAAATCAGTAAAGTATTTTCAACAGACATGATCCAGTTTTCATTAGAGAGAGGTATAGCTCACCATTATTTGTATTGTACATAGCTTTTTAAGAAACTCATATTCAAACAAAAATGGATCATGCTCTGATCAAATGAAGCTATTATCTTATCTGCAGTGGAAAACTAACATGTTGCTTTAATTTTCCATAAATAAAATCTACTTGGTCCTGTAGTGTGAAGCTGATGGCTGGTCAGGGAGAGGCAAAGATCACAAATAACTTCTATCCTCTCCATTTATGTCTTTTGTACTGTTGTATATTTAATTATTTACAAAAATGGCCCTACAAAGAAGCTGTCCATCACTAATATTGGAACAAAAAATGCACTAATTATATTTCCGTTGTTTGGCTCCCCTGCTCTCAGTCCCTCTAATGAGCTCTTAGCTTCACCTTCAAGGATCAAATATTTTTCGTTCATACAAAATGAAGATTTTATTTGGCATTCTCAAAACAGGTAACAGTGCCATCCTATCACATGACACATCTGGCACATTTATTTAAACCAATATTATACCATATACCGATATTAAAGACACCTTCATCATGAATGTATTTAATGCAATGAGGTTTAAGTTGGAGAAACAATAACTGGACAGCAAAGTCATCATGTTATAGCTTATTGTTAATACAGTCAAACCAGGTCTTATACAGATATATACATTAGGGCTGCAACTAATGATTATTTTGCAAATCGATTAATCTGTCGATAAATTTTTCGATTAATAATCGGATAGCCAAAGGTTCCTTAAAGAAGATTTTTTTCTAAATGAAACCATATGAAACTTAAAGAAACTTTTAGAGCATACTGACAGACTGATTTTTTTTTAAATCTTCAATGCAAAATGTTTACATACTTTTTTTTTTACAATAAATAAATATGATATAATTACTGCTCTAGTGGGTTGCTCTGTCAGCTAAAGGCATGTTCTACAGTCTCTATACTCCAGTTAATGATTAATCCAGCTAAATTAGTTGAGGATTTTTTCAATAATCGATTAATCACCATTATTCTGATTTATTTTTTCAGCCCTAATAGATCCAAAGAGTCATTTGGGTAAAGCTAGTAAGTGTTTAGAGTTGCAAATATTACATGAACTTTCAATAAAACACAATTATATATATATATCTGTTTAATCAAAAATAAAAAACATGTATTAATATTCATTAGGGCTGCAACTAACAATTATTTTAAAAATCGATGAATCAGCCGATTATTTTTTCGATTAATCGATGAATCGGACAAAAAATATTTTTTATATTAACCTCTTTATTCCAAAATAAACATTTTAGACAGAACAAACAAGCACACAAGTACAGGTTGCTCATTAACTGTACTGGTGCAACATGAAAAATAAATGTTTGTGTTAAAACTACGCAAACTTACATGAGAAATGTAGCTGTACATCCAAAAAATATAGGCTACTTTGTTTCATAAAGCGCAAAAAAGACAGGCATTTTTGTTTTTAAAAGCCCCTAAGGGGTTCAAACAATAGGCCCCCCCATTTCATCAAATGAGTTTTTTTTAGACTAGAAGAGTTCTGCCTTTTAAGACAGGAAAGTATAGCAGTTAAAGTTGCTACTTGAGAAAATACTGAACCATAGAGATAAAAATAGCCCTGTGATTCAAATTATTAATTGTATTTGGAATAAAAATGAGAGAACTAGGGGTGCTAAAAAACACATCCTCCAAAGACAGATATTTACATGGGAATGTGGCATATAATTAATTGACATATTACTGATCTTGCTGGATTTTATGGTTTACTTCCATAAATTGCAGGATCTTCTTTACTTTATCTTTGCCGGAAGATTTAAACTTTAAAAGCCTGCCTTCATAATTTGCAAGTTAATTTATTTATAAAGGCTATTTTAATTATTGTGATCAATTTGCGCGGTCAATCCCGGCACATGCGCGCTTCATTTGCAGTCTGGACGCTGAAACATCATGCGGCTCTGACTGCAGCGCTGTGAGGGATTCTTGCAGGAGAACGGGGTTGGGATGGGGGAGGCGCCTCACGGCAGCAGCTGCCGCTGGAGGACAAGATTAGGAACGATACATGCTTTCACGTAAGAGTCTCCAAAAGACGCCAGTGACACCGTAAAAAGTCGCCAGATTTGTCACTAGTCGCTTTTTTTTTAAAATAGTCGCTGGAGGGGTCTGAAAAGTCGCTAAATAAAGCGACAAAGTCGCTGAGTTGGCAACACTGCGCACCTGCAGCGCTGGCTCGCTCTGCCGTAATTTTTTTTTTCTTCCCCCGTTTTAGTCAAGTGGATGTGATGACGGCGGCGGCGGATGACGCATTAATCGCGCGACACAACTAATCGATGAGAAAATTCGTTGCCAACGCTTTTAAAAGTCGATTTTTATCGATTTTATCGATTCGTTGTTGCAGCCCTAATATTCATTAAAAAATAGTAAAAGAAAGAATACTAATCCTCCGAAATCCCTTTTACAAGAAGTATAAATTAATCAGTAGTGATTTTCTTTGTATGAAGGTCTGGTTGTAGAGACAAACCTGTCGTAGTTTAAGGTAGAAGGTCTCAGTGTAGCTACGCTTGCTAAAGGGCCAGAAGAGCCTGTCGTTTGGAGAACACACTCTGACCCTCGTCTCCAGCAGAAAACGGACCGGTTCCTCCACCTCAGTTATCACCAGATCCACTGCAGTCGTCATGTACATGAACTTATCTAAAAACAACCAATGCAATGTCAACCCCAGTTAGAGACACCCTGATTGCTTCCAGGGCATATTTCACCAATTGGAATAGAAACATGACCGCATTATCAAAATACAATCCTTTTCATAAGCTTAAGAACAAGTAGGTCTTATCTAAACCTTGAGAGTGCATTTTTGGCTCTTACCTTTGGGCGTTTCCTCGTTCACAGCCTGAAACTGAGGCGTGTTGGGGTTCCAGCTTCCTGTGATGATGTAAGACTTCCCATCTGAGCTTTTTCCCATTGACTCCTGTTTGGTACAAAAGCTGGAACAAGTTGGCACATACACAGACACACAACACACAAAAGAAGCTAAAAACAGTCACCCACCAGGTCCAGCAGGTGCATGTCGCTGTTCTTGACATTTCTCCCCGGGCTGAGCAGGAGTCCAAAACATCTGGAGAATAAACAGGCAAGTGAATTTAGAGGAAAAGGGTGACCAGATTACGATTACATAGGGGAAAAAACAACACAAAGGAGGAAAAAAGAGAAAAAATGAGGCATGTAATAATAACTCTTTTAAAGGTTACATAAAAGAGAAGAAATATTTTCTTGAACAAATGGTTTAACACAGTCCAGGTCACGGAGACGACTAAACACATTCTTCTAGTCCTCACCTCCTCTGACATTATGAAACAATAACTCAAGCAGAAAATGGAGGTCTACTGGGGATGCTGCAATTTAACAGATTTATTAAAGCATGAAAATGAGAGGCTGTGAGACAGAACCGCCTAACTTCCAACATTTACAGCTGCCCTGGAACATTTAAACCGCAGGACAGACGTTAAGATGTCCTAAGTTTGTCAACTATAACCTGCCGACCGTTTGCTTAGTGATATCTGGTTTAAGTTTAGGTGGCAGATGGACCAGAAAGAGGAATATCCTGCTTTTTGACTAATTATTACTCCGTTTTTTAATTGTTGCAGAACTTCTTTAACTTGGGTTCTCCTGTGTGACCTGGTTAGAAACATTTATCTGAAGCCTAAAAACCTGAGTAACATTAAAAAGTAACTAAATAAAAAGACTTCAGTATGATGTCAATCATGAGCAGAAACATTGACTTAAGTCTCCCAGAGGTGTTTTGTGTTTTTGCATTCCCTGGACAAAGAAAGTAGAGCTGCTGCAGTTAAGGAACTACTTGAAAACAATAGATGTCCCCACTGACTCATGGGGGCTCCAGAGAGTCTCTGCATTCTGACATTCCTTATTCATTTTTCCTCTGCCAACATTATGGGAACAAGTGTGCGCATAGAATGTGAAAAGAACAAAATTGGGAAAAATGAAAACTGTGTTTAATGCGACACAAATATTCAAACATTTATATACAGGGCCAACCAATATTTAATCAGGATTTATTTTTCCAGGAATTTTTTGCGATACATCAACTGAAAACTGCTAATTCATAAAAAACCTTAACTGAGAAGTTCAGCAAGAGAAGCATTAGTAATTATTAAGGAAAAGAGGATATTCTACATATATTAGGGCTGCAACTAACGATTATTTTTGCAAAGCGATTAATCTGTCGATTATTAATAATTGGATAGTAAACAGTTCCTTAAAGAACTGTTTTTTTTTTTTTTTCAATCAAACCAGGTGAAACTAAAACTTTTCCGCCGGAGTAGTTCTGGATAGAGCAGATTGACAGACGAAAATGGTTTCTATCTTAAATGCAAAATTTCAACATATTGTTTCTTATAATTTTTATATAATTACTGCTTTAAGTTGGTTGCTCCGTCACCTAAAGGCACATTTTAGGGTCTCTAGACTCCTTTTAATGATTAATCGATTACTAAATTAGTTGATGAATATTTTAATAATCGATCAATCACCATTAATCAGATTTTTTTCAGCCCCAATATTCATATCAGAGATTTTCAATCTTTAAAATCCAAAGAGTCATTTGGGTACAGCTAATAAGTGTTTAGAGCTGCAAACATTACATGAACTTTCAATAAAACACTTATTTTGGTCAAATATCTGCTGCAGGAAATCTGCTGCCATTTCAAACAACCAACTTTTTTTGTACATTTAGATTTTAAAATGGATTGCATTCTATAAGATATTATATGGTGTAAAAAAATAAATACCGGTAAATAAAGCACAAAAAAAGGACAAAATTTCCAAGATAATGACAAGAAAAAAATGTTTATGTCATTCTATTGTGAAAAGTTCTAATTTCTTTAAGGAATCCCCCCAAGCTTCTAACATTTGTATTTGCCTTTATACTATTAATAAAAAAAACACTTGTTGACTTATTTATAATTTTTAGCCACAGAGCAATCTGCGGCACTGGAGCCGGATTTGTGAAGCTGGTTAGAGTTGATGGCCATTCCTTGATCTTTATAATATCATTTAAATGCAACACGAAAAGGACAACTTTAAAGGTTGCAATAAGTTAAAATGGTCTATTCAAAGACTGAGTTTGGCTAAATAAAAATACTCTTTTTCACACTTTAAACTAAGAAAGAAAAAATGTGACAAACCATTTTATTTTCCTATAGCTTCATAAAGATGTTGCCCATATTACATACTGTCGAGACACATAAATGTGACAACGTAAAAATCGAGAGTAAATGATACTTAATGTAGGCAATACATACTGAGTGCCTGAAACTGTGAGTGTTTGGAGGTGTGTTTTACCTCTCGATTGCCAGCTCCTTGTTGGAGGTCTGCTGAACGTAAATAACTATTTTCTTGTCCAGTCCAGCCCGAAGCTTGAAGCTTTGTTTGTCCTTGTCTTTTGCAACAGCACTATGGATATAAGAGAAAAACAAACAGCTCCAACAATGTTACTCTTCATACATTTACAATGGCAACTATTCAAAGAATGTTAAATGAACGTGTTAACGAGTTAAATGTATATAAACTTACTGAACAACTGGGTAGTCTGACTGGGGTTATACTGTTTTAAAGCAAGTCAAGTTCAAAATAGATGCATTAATCAAAATCAAAGCCACTTTCAAACAGGCCTTAATCATTGTCCGGCTCTAAATCTTTTCCTGCTCATTTATGGATCTGGACCAGAACCAGGCTTTGGACAGAAACAGTTGTCAACATTCTCCAAGCCCCCGCTGATATAAATTTTGGGGGAAATACCAAAGAAAATCTAAATCTGACTCAGCCAAGTTGAAACAATATAAATCTCTTTGAAATATATGGCAAATATTTCAATATGGCTGTGAATTCCAGGATGTACTCTGATAATAAAAACATGCCTCCTTTTGAATTACGACTCATAGAAATCGGTTGTGGAGAGGCTTTCCAACTAAGGCACATTTTTAATCCACAGGGCCTCGAAACTGAACAGCCTAATAATGACACTATGCTGCAGATAAGCCACATGCCGTGTTTTGCGGTTTCTGCACACCATTCTGTATCACATCAGGCAGCATTTAAACAAGGAAATACTCATAATGTACAAAAATCAGCTTCAATGCTGAAGCTTCCCATTTGGATGTCACTAATAGCAATGAACCCAAAGCTAATGAGAAGGCTAAAATTAACTGTGTATTTTTGTTTGCTTTGTTTTCCCATCCAAGCAAGTAGGCTTTTTGTAAACACATGGAAGTGAGTAAGATTTCCGAAAAATAACAAAACAAAAGGTCAAAGATGATGTGTTAAATGAAGGAAACAAACTGTTTTCTGCTACACTAATTAAAGAAGGAGGTTGTGTTTTTTTTTTTATTACTCTATCCCTTCATGCGTCAAGAATTAAAGAATTATCTCTATTTAAAGATCAAAGCATGTATGCACATGCTGTCTGTCAAAGTATTTAAGCCTGAACATGCTGGGATTCCTTAGCTTTAATTGATTTAAAAGACAGGGGAAAAAAAGTTAGCTTTTATTCAGCATTTGACCAGTTACTCAAAAAATAAAAAGATTTGGATCTTCAACCAAAGGACGAATACATCTCTACATTATAGTGTGAGCAAATAACAAACAGGAATTCTAAACGTGGATTTACCTGAAAGTACCCTTCCCATCATCCTCCCTGATCTCCAGACTGACAGTGAAGGTAAACAAGTCGCTGTCTGGTGTGAGCGGGGCATTCTGCTGAGAAGACAGCAGCACCTTCTTGGCTGACCTCCGAAAGGCTGTGGCGAAGCTGTACAGTATCCGGCTCACCTAAAGGCCGACAGACATGCAATCAACCACTAACAACAGGTCCATATAAGGGTAAAGAAATGGAATCAAATATTTCAGACACAATCCACACTTATGTAAAATGCAACAGGATCAGGTTTAAAACAAGGCAGCACATTCATTGTTATAGTTTTAATATTGCAGAGTTTGAGCTCCTAACATCAAAACATACACAGCATTGTAAAACTAAAGTAACTAGCTACACTTGGGGGCTAAACAAATTTAAGACAGTGCTTACGTAAATTGTCATGAGAGTGTTCACTTTCCATGAAAGATGGTCTAATGAATGGAGCAATGTGCAATTCTTGGAACTGCTGTAGTCTGGCTCAGAGGTGTGTATCTGTCTGTTCACCCTCCCTCCAATGTGGCTCTCTACAACTTTTACCAAACCTCACATGAAAGTTAACTTCATTTGATATAACAAGGATTCAAGAAAGGATTGTTTTAGCAGTAAATTCATAGAAAAACCAGCAAAGAAATTTGATAACAGAGTAAGAGTGGTACTTCAAAAAAAGCCTTTCCTGTTTAATTGTTTTGTGTTACCAGGCCGCAAAATATGTGCTTTAACATTAATAGCATCCTGTATCATATGGAAATATAAAAAAGTAGATTGTTAGCTTTCTTCTTAGAATTCGGAAGATGGCCGCTCACACCGGGCCTGGTTCTGCTGGAGGTTTCTTGCTGTTAAAAGTGGGTTTTTCCTCTCCACTGTCGCTATCAAATAGTTTTCCTTGGATAGAAAACCTTGAATCAATTTGACTGTATGATCTGGTTGAATTGTCTCTATAAAGTGGCTTAAGATGACATGTCTTGTGAACTAGCGCTGAATAAATAGACTGAATTGAATTGAATAGGACCAAAAATGTAGTCGCATTTTCTCATCCCTAATCAAGTAGGGATAACAGCTCTAAATAAAAAATCATTCAGTTATAGCATTGGAATAAAACTCCTCTGAGCTAAGATAATTCAAACGGTAGAGCTTGAAAAAAAAAAGAAAGAACGAACTGATCTAAATTCAACCAAAAAAACAAAAATATTTTATCTTCATCTGAAGAAAAATGGCATGATATCAGGAAGAGCTTTAATAATATCTCTTATAAACATTGCAATGATGGCATTGCCCCGATATTATTTATTTAACCCACATTTTCCTGAATAACTTCTTTTCCCCCACATAAATATACCGACATTTACTATAAGCTTTATTGCAGATAATAGAGGCAATAAATAACTCATGTTTCCAACTACGGTACCATCCATCCAATAATACTTGTGTTGGCAGCAGCCTGAAGTCCTAATTATTTATAATATTACTTTTATTGAATAGAAAATTGGTTTTACAAACACCAGTCTCAGCCCATGTTAAGTTCAAAGTAAAAAAAAAACTGCAAAAATATCAAACTGTGCTGCAGTTTTTTGTTTTTTTTAATACAGAATATTTTTTGGAAAGTGTCTGACAGCAGATGTAAGGGTATTTAACATAAAACAGAGAAAACTGGATTACAAGAACCCTCAGAAGGAGTTCTGGTAAATCTCCAAAATAACAATGGGGTAGAGACAGCCAAGAAGGAAGTGATAATTTAATCACTTTATCTAAATGTACCTTTCCTCTCAGTAAGTGTAGATCATTACAGACAGATGTGTCTTTGTTAAAGAAGATCGCAGCACCTAAAGGATCATTTCAAAGAAATGTGCTTAAGTTACAAAGCGCTTGCACAGTGAGAAATGGTTTGGGGCAATGGCCTTTTGTTTATTTAAGACGTGGGTATAAAGCAGGGTTTGTTCCATCCCTGGTGAAGAAGAACATCAGGGGACTCCAGAGGGGGGATTTTTTTATGGAGCTAAATGAGAATGGAAGTAAGAGCTTGGGGGGGTTGAGGAAAGCTAAACAGAGGGGGTCTCAGCCCTGTCTTGACAGAAAGAGTAACATTTAACACAATGGGAGTGTTGTTCCCTGTTTAGCTTAATGTTCAAATAACCGTTTCCAGATTTCATTGTTTTCAGATGGATTTCTTTTTTCTACAGCATGAACAAGCTTTTCCAGCTCACGGACTGTAAATGTATGCAGTCTGACATTCATTTATTGGACATTTACCAGTTCTTATATATCCACCCTGAGCAAAAGACAAACAAACAAAATCTCAAGTGTTTTTCGCTTACATCAACTTTAGTAAGGAATAGGAAGCCAAATCATACAAAGATCAAGATGTTAAATTTAAACAAAGAGCCGAAGCGGTAAAAGCCTCTTCTGTACAAGAACGAGAAGATTACAGAGGAAATTTTAGATTCTCAGAAACCTATTTTGAAATTTCAGATGTTAGTTTTGCCTACACAGCTTTAAGGGTTTATTTAAAAATGTTTCATATCAAAATTATACACTTTTTGGATTAAAATTCACTGAGTATTTGGGCCTTCATAAGCCATTTATGGATTTTCATTCAGACGTGCTGAGAAGATAGATCAGATTTGATTGGTGGATTGGTTTAAAATACTAAAAAGAACAGATGAGTGCAGGATGGATGGAAAAAGATGGCTGGATGTATATTAAAAACAGATAAAAGGATGATGGAGGGATTGAAGATTGGTGGATTTATAGGATTTATAGATGAAATGATGGATGGACCGACTGAAAGATGGCTCTAGAACGGACTGGTGGATAATGGTTGGATAAAAAAAGTTAGACTAACAGTAGATGAAGAAATATGCATATAAGTTTTAATAGTAAAGTATGAAAGACAAGTGCTCCTTAAAACTACTTTCTCCTGATTCAAGTCCTTCTCCAACCGGTTTAAAACCCTGTGTTTTAAAAACTTTACAGTTAGATGAGTGGATTTTTTTGTATTCTAAATGTGTGAGAAATTTGTCTCTGAAACCATTGCTCTCTTATTTGATTGGAGTCACCAACCTTTATATAGAGAGGGCATATTCAAAATTACTATTGTAAGTTTAAGATTTTTGTGCAAAAAAGGCCACAAATTTAAAATAAATATATCTTTGCAAAGAAACAGCAAAAAAAGGGAAATTGCTTAGTATGTGACACAGTAGGGGGCTCTCCATCAGGAAACCAGCAATAACTGGAGACCAGCAAACAGACCTGGGTGCATGATGGTAAGGAGAGGAGGTATGTGAGGTTTTAGGCAGAGGAGATAATTATGTTGCTAAGGGTTTGGATTTTAAAAGACGAAAATGGAGGCAAAATTATCACTAATGAGGTGAAGAAAAAGGACCACAGAGAATGTGGGTAACCAGGTAAAAGAATGAGTCGTTGCCAGGGATACAGTTTTCAAGTGAAGCAATACATGCTTCCCTTCATCTCTAACAACTGCTTTATTTATTTATTTTTTTATCTATCTAACAACTGTTTAGTACGATCATGACAGCTGCAGACACGGCCGGTCAGACCAAATATATCAACAGTTGTTTCCTGCTGGGTCTCCAAATACATCACGAATCTAGAATCAGAATACTTTCAAAAATGTTGTTAAACATTATAGGAGTATAATTGGATGGATGCTGAACTTTGAATTATCAGTGGTATTTGCTGTAGCTCAATTAAATACTTTTATGATTGAGTTATGAATAGAAATAGCGTATTATCTAAGACAGACAGTAGCTTTGTTTACATGGATACAAATAATCAGATCTAAGGCCTTATCAGATCAAAACTGTTTCATGTAAACATGTTGGAGTGAAGATTCTAATCCGATTTGGTCCGATCGGAAAGAAATCTCATTCCAAAAAGAGAGAGGTGTTTTTTTTTTACGATCCCTATTCCTATTGCTGTCCATGTTAACACACATTTGGGTAAAATCCTTTCCACTGCATATGTGTGCAATGCTAGCATGAAGTTTTTCTCTTCACTAACCTTCATCCACTGGCTCCTGGTCATTAGCGGAGGAGGTGGCTCTAAATGTAATATATGGATGAACATGCCCTCCTGCCCTCTACCACTGTAGTAAAGGAGCATTAGCATAAGCTACTGATGAGCCTTTAAACAAAAAATGACAGCCAAAAATAAAAGTATAGATACAAAGATGCTATGTAACTCCATATTGGGAAAAAAATTATATCAACAGGCACAACTGAAGAAAAAAAAAGACGAGAGGAGGGCACAAAGACCAGCTAAAGTTGAGGAGGAGCGGACAGGTACAGGTTTGTTTAAAAAACANACTAAAGTGTTTCTGGAAAATTAGACAGTCCTGCCCACTCTATTAAATGATTTAATCCAATCAAAGACTTGGAACATACATATACACAGACTTAATGCCTGGATTACTTTATTTAGAGCCCATGTAAGCAGATATTTCTTACTTCTCATCAACCAAGATTTAGATCAGATCATGGAAATTTTCCTAATGTAAATGTAGCTATGGTGCAAAGAAATACGGCCATACTATGAAGTATGTGAGTAAGATTTAACTCTGCTAATGTTATATATCTGATAACATGGTTTATATGGTATATATCTGCAAGCTATGATGGATCTGGACATATATGTAACCAATTATTATTTCATTTTATATTTTATATGTTTCTTAGACACCAGCATTCATTATTGGCATGAAGAGTTTGGATGGCCTTCACAAATACAATAAAACACTAATTTTGTTGCCATGGTGTAGGCACTCCTCGTGTTTACTGATTAATCAGCTAGGAAATAACAAATAGATAGGAGGCAAACGGTCCGTCTAATCTAACATGTTTCTTTCTCTACCTCACATGGTCAAATCCCACAGCAGCGATTTTCTCTTTCACATCGGTCAAGAGTATCAATATACTGTTTTTGTCAGAAAGCAATCGTCATCCTGATTGTCTGGCACTTGCCGACTGTAATGGCGGCTGAAGGGTTTTTTTGTCCAGTTGAGAGGAGTGAGAACAATGTAATCGCCGCATGTGATTGTCTGAGTGTGAATCTGATGGCTCTCGTATGTTTCAACACTGTGGTGTGAGCATTGGTGTGGGTGTGTGTATTCTTAGTTTGTTTCTGTGACTGTGGATGGTGGGATGAAGTAGGAAACCCATAAAGCAGCGTCTGTCTGAAGGCTCTTAGTCACACTGAGTGCTTTCATATGGGAAAAAGCAGGTCACCGATCACAGCAGCTGTACTTTAACCCAATTTTCTCAGTAAATCTGCTGTCTTTTATCAAATCTATCGAGCCGTTTACATACCTGTGCTATCAGTTCTTTAGTCACCCGTTTTGCATGCTTCAAATATGCTTCAAATATGCTTTTCTGTATGACATGATGTCATAAAAACCTCACAGATACATGACTCTTTTAATGAATCTTATATTGTTTTATGCAAAAATGCTGTAAACAGAGATGATTCCCTTTTGTGGTATTTATAAAAAAAACAGATGGTTTATTTTTCTCAGCTATCAAGCTCCATGTTTTATAGCAGATTTGATTATATCACATGTTCCTAAACCAGTAATTTCTGGTAGGCTGCAGGCTTAAATGTGCTACTAAAAGTAGAACAAGAAGCAAATCTTTCGCCGTCACTCCTATGCTTAACTTATCCCTCTATGGTACTTTGGTTCTGTGTAGTAATTAATTTTGTGATACTAAGATTATTTGTCTTTGCTGTGCTATTCATTTTTGTGACCTCTGGTTCATTTTTCCATAGAAGTTATACCTTGTCCAGTGTCCCCATGTTTGGTTGAGTCTATTCTATCATGTGCTGCCATTAACTAATTTAGGAAGAAAGAGTTCCTGACTCAGTTGTTCAGTGTTGAACTGAATCTTTCCGAGGAGGGCTATAGCCGTTCCTAAGTTTGTTCATTTCCAAAGAATTGACACCTGGCCTAATACTTTTGTGTTGAGCCACGTTTCTTTTGTGTTTAATAGATGTTCTTACCTTGATAAAGACATCAACTGAAGCTACTTTCCTCTGTCATTTCCTCCATAAAAAGCAATACTGAACAAAGATTCCTCTCTTCTCTCTAATTTTTGTCCTCTCAACTTGCACACAAATTGAATTTATTATAACAGGATAGCAACTGGAACAGTTAACTGTTCAAAGTTCCCTGAAATTACATTTGTTGGAAATTGATGCCAATTAAATGAGAAGAACTGACCCGATCATGGCATTAAAGTCTGCAACAGATTTTCTATATTTCATATTTTACATATCTATGTACATTATTTAGTATGTGGGCAAAAAATTCTTACTGCCTCTCGAATTTGACAGCGGAACACGTGGATCCTGAAGATTTCTGCGTTGTGGTGGCTCTCTGTGAAGGCAAAGCAGTCGCTCTCTGGTGTGCCATCGTGGCCTCTCACACAGAACAGAATCTTATAAATGGGGTAATTGGCTATTTCTGTGTTGTTGTGCGGGTCCAACAACCTGCAAAAACAAAAAATATGGCTTAGTCTTCTTTACTATCCAGTGTATGTACCACATATAAGATTTGTGTCCCAACCTGACGGTGCCTTCAGAGACTCCTGGCACTGAAAGTGTGACATCCAGGGGGAGCTGACACTGCCCTCGGAGGATACTCATCATACGAAGGGCCTCTACTTCACTCCTGGGGGCATTGACAGAGGCACACCCCAGATATGTTAGCTGGCTGAACACCACACTGTCCTCATCTGGAATTGGACTGCAAGGACTTCCTTCTGATGAGGACTCATCTGCTGTAGAGTGCAAGGATAAGAAAAACAAGAGGAGAGGCAACATTTATTTGACTTTTTTAACCTTTAAGAAGAAGACTGATGCAATCCCATCCTGCCTTTACCTCTGTAGGACCTCTCATTCAGCTCACTCTCTTGAGCGGTCTGAACGGGGAGCACCATCTCCAGTGTGGGTGACGTGGAACTCAGTGGGTCGGTGCCTGCCAGCACAGGTGACATCGTGTTCGAAGGAACACCATGGTCAGTAGCGCCAAGGTCGCTCATTCCTTCTCCTGAACCAAGACCGGCCTCTGCCACAGATGGATCCATGAGGACGTCCTCCAACTCCCTTTGAAGCTGCTGCTCACTCCCATTCCCCACAATCTGCTCCAGACATATCCAAATATAGAGTCAAAGGCAAAGAATTATCCAAGAAAAGGTGATAAAACATGAAGATTTCTGCACCGATCACCGTGAAAATTTTAAAAGCCGACAACCAGAGCATCGAAACGGTTCACAAACTGTTTCTTATTTGACAACATGATTTGAGTGATTGTAATATTCTTAAAAAGTTCACTTTTTAAAGATATTTTTTATCAGAAATAATTTAATGTTAGTGATTAGTAGAGTCAGTATAGGGTCAGTATGTCATTAAGGCTATAAAATAGCTTCACTTTAGGACTGACTGCTTTTGTATTGATGGAAATTATTGGCCCAATTCAATGTTTTTGGTAGAAACAATTAATTTAGAAAGTTAAATATCTCTGCCTTTTTCACTTAAAACATATCCAGGTGGATGGATTCTATTCAAGTGACTAATTCTCTGCTAATAAATAGTTGTTTTACAGGTTAAGCTACCAGCTGGGGCATAAAGCTTGAGACTAGATGAAGGATATCAGTGTATACCATCATCCACATCCAAATATAAAAAAAAGTTACCTCACAATACAAAGGGAAACAAAAACAGGAAGCTAAAATAATCACAGACAGGATCACCACTAAATCACATCACAGAGATAGAGCAAAGGAAAGTAAAAGAAATTGCTCTGAGAGAAGAAAAGGAAAAGAAAAAAAAAGCAGGAGAAAAGAACTGACCTTAAAGCTGACCCCTTCCTCTGAAATCACCTGCATAACAAACAACAAGTTTAGACACACTGGCTCTTCTCCTGACTGGATGGACTGGCTGGGAGGGAAATGTGCAAGAGAATGTGTTGCCAAAACAAAACAAAAAAAAAACATAATATCTGGATGACTGGGGGGAAATGGATGGAGTGATTTCTTTCTAAAATGTGAGGAAAGTCAATGGGTGTCAGGCGCTGCTTTTTATATATGTCTAACAGTAAGGTGATGATATCAAGATGGCCACTTGAAAGCTTTGCTGGCTGCTGATCAAAATGACAAAACGGCAAAGCGTATATATTCCACAAGCATTATAAAAGCAGCAGAAACAGCAACATCCTCTCAAAACTATCAATATCCGACTCCTTGCTATGTTGGCGCCATCTACTGGGACAAAAAGGGAAGTACAGGTTCAGTGGGCAAGGAACTATAAAGACGCAACCAAGCTACTTTACAGAGCACAGAAATATTTTAACCTGAACCTATAAGGACACACAGCTGCCTAAAACCTCATTGGCTTCATAAATACACCACTGAAAAATCATATTCTCCCAACAGGGAAACTAACATTGCTCTAAACCAACAGACTCGGACTCCACAGTGTTGAATAAGGCGAAGAATCAAACTTTAAAAAGTCAAATCCCTTTTAAACTATATCAGTTAACAGAGGAAGATCTAATGACAGAGAGCCGGCTGACTGGAGATGAGGTCATTTTCCATCTAAACATTTTATTTGCAAACAAACAGCAATAATTAATATCAATATTCAGAATAATATGGTTTAAATAATTGTTAATAAGAAACTGTAACAATAAATGAGTAAGATTAAAGTCTACAAGGAAAGTGTAGAAAGAGAGCAAAATAGCAACTCAAGGAATGGTTAGTCGTCTGGTCAGGAGTGGGAGCTTCTACATGCAATCTCAACCATATGCTTGTGAAAATGATTACCGGTAGGAGTTTTTACTGATGAGTGATAAATTATTGAATTTATAGAGATGGTGACCCCTTATCTGCATCTTTTATAGTGTACACTACTAATAAATTGATCACAAAGTTAGTGTCCAAAATATGACTTTATATAAAAGCTGCCAGTAGAACAAATCTTGATGCAACCCAACAGTGCCTGGCTAAAGTGTTTACACTCCTGCAGCGTTTTCACATTTTATCGTGATAAAACCAACATTTTTGACACAAAGTAGTACATAGCTGTAGATCTGAAGGAAAGAAAAAATAAATAGGGTACAAATGACATTCAAACCCCTTTACTTTAAAACCCCTAAATAAAATACACTGTAACCAAGTCCATAAAGCACAATGTTAGCAACCGGAGAGAATCTGTATAAAGTTAATCGAAAAAAACAAATGTTTTATTCAAAATGGGAAAAATTGAGGAGTTATATTGGTTTACAGAGAGGAAGTCCAGTGAGGCAAAGTTTGATATCCTTCCAGAGGCTTATTTTTGGTTCACTTTGCAGCATGAACATGGGTTTAGTTCCCTCGCTAAAATTACAGCCAGAGCTGCAAGGATAAATGGTCAAAATCTTTTATTCCAAAAGCTGAAGAAGTTATGATCCCCCTTATAGTCCCAGATTGATAGTTATGGAGTCTTAAGATACTCTACAGAAAATAAAAATTATATTAATGAATAGGGTTGGGAATCATTTTAATTTGAACGTTTCAAATTCTGATTCTTCATTATGATTCCGGTTCTTTTAAGAAGAAGAAGAAAGAAATTTTAGATGTTTTAAATTAACTGGCTAATGGTGTTCCTTCTGGATGACTTTTTGGAAAGCAGTTATTTTCAACCTATAATCTAATATATTTTCTAGTGACAGAAATACATTTTCACATGGAGCGTTATTGTTTATAACCTCATTAAAACATATGTTCATGTCTTATGCCTCAGGTTCTTTTGCTGTATCGTTTCATTCACCTACTTCTGGCTGCCTTGCGGTTCTATGCTGAGTGTCTGAGCCGGAGGAGAAAACAGCACAGTGGGAACGCATCCTGACAGAGTTTATATCCTCAGCCTCATTTACTGCAGCTCCACTTCACTCAACTAGACATGAAAGGAGTGATGCTTTACTCTTGTGGACAGAGGAACGATCAGATTTCATACTGCAACGTTGAAACAGATTCCAAATGAACCAAACTAAACAGATGAAGGTATGCTTATAATTATTCAGGAGGTCGGCAGATCTGTGTGTGTAATGAGGCGGGTATCTGTCCCGACATAAAGTAAGAGGAAGAGAGAAGGAAAAGGCTTTGCTCGCCCTGCAGAAGCTACGCTGCGATTTTAGCACGAGGAACAAATTCCCTCAGGGATCCTACCTCGCAGCAGACTAAGCTCTCACTCTGACTCCGGCGGCGGTGATTAATCATGTTAGCTGTGAGCTGTTCTTTGCATAATTTAATACCATCACCAGTGTCACAGGTAGCATACTGGTCATTTCCAAATAAACATTACACCACACTTTTAAATGCACTACTTTGTATTTTTCTGCCGCGTGAAATCTCTAAAATAAACAAAAGTTTGTAGTTGTGACTTGAAATAATGTGAAAACATCTTGTACTCAGTGATTCTCTCTCCTCACCACTCGTCCTTACCTTCAGTCCCGTCTTTTCGTCATCGCTACCATTATTGGTGGACGAAGGGGTCTCGTCCCCCAGCCGGGACACGAGGACAAAGTCCTCACTGTTGAGAGTGGACACTGAGTCTGAAGACACGCTAATCTTCCCCACAGAGCCCTTGTCATCCATGGCTGCTACTTCTAATATCGACCCTGCTGCTCATGAATGGAAGACAGGAGGAGGAGGTGGAGGGAGATGATGAGCAAAATCACCTGGAAAGGCAAAACAAAAAGGCATAGCAGTCATGAAGAAAATGAAAGCCTCTTTAATAAAATTATAAATTGGCAACCCCTATAAAATATGAGATGATTATAGCTGATTTATGTTTTTTAAATAGACAAAGAAAAAACAATAGAGCTAAAAGTCAGATATAAATCGAAAGTTGAACTAGGTTTAGGCAAAAGTGATAAATATGAGAATATGGAGATGAACTGATGCCAGAAAGTTTTTTTTCTTTTTCTGATTGATGTGTATTTTTAGTAGGAAAATAGCTTGCTGCGAATGTAAGAGAAGAACCAAACAACAAGCCACTTTTCTATAAACACCCATTAAGCCATGAGGTAACCGCTGGAAATAAAACAAGGTGCCATTGTGCGCAACAGGAAGAAAGTCTCAAAAATAAGGATCTGGATCTGGAGCCTAGAACAGGAACGAGACCAAGAGCTGCTCCCAAGTTCTCCTTTTGCATTTTTTTATCTCCTCTTCATGCTGCGTAAGGATTTCCCTTCCTCTTTCTGCCGCTCTCGCTTTCTATTTAAACCAGCAGGCAAACAAAAAGACAGAGTCACAGCAGCTAGCTTTTTTCTGACAATCCTTTCTTCCTTTGAAGAAACAAAGTTCCCATGTGCGGTGCTGCCAAAAATATCATCAACAAAGCTAATTTCCTCTTATAAATTCTTCACTTAGATGTCAATTCAGAGGAAATAGCAACATGTAATAATTTGAGGTGGTTGGGTAGAAACATTTTCTCCCTTCTCCTTTGCAGAAATGCAGTGATTAATATTAACAATTGGTATGACCCAACTAGGAAATCTCTTCCTACAGTCTAACTCATTTTTGAGCTGCACAAACACACACACACACACACACACACACACACACACACACACACTCTTTTAATGCTACTTTAATAAATCTGAAATCTTGTGCATGTGAATATTGTCTTAAATTATATTTTTAAACCACTTTGGTATAGATGGTCTTATAACAATAACCCTTTCGGTCAAAAAAAAATAAACAAAAAGTGAACAAAAGGTTCAAAAATGTCATTTAGTATATTTTTTTACTTCAAAGAAATAATGAAACCTAGTCAATATATATTTGTACATTAGGGCTGAAACAATTAATCGGATTAATCGATTATTTAAACCATCCTCAACTATTTTAGCAATATCGATTAATCTTAAACTAGAGTTTAGAGGCTCTAAAATGTACCTATAGGTGACAGAGCGAACCTCTCAGAGCAGTAATTAGACCAAAATTGTAAAAGAAAAGTTAGTTAAACATTTAGCATTAAGATAAATTAATAGTTTCTGTCTGTCAATAAGCTCCATCCTGGGGGCGCTGCTGAGCTTTCAATGGAGTGACACGTGCGTTTGCGAGCTCCTGCCAATTTCGATTAATATTGTTATTCATCTGCGCTTTTTAGTCACATTTTGTGTTATTTTTACTTCTCAACACTTTTTGTTAAGAATTGTAACTTTGTATCACGTCAGGATGTCAGGAAAGAATACAAAATCGCGTAATACGATCCAGACGCAGCTGAGGCCTGGTTTACAGGCCGCAGCCCCGCCTTCAGGTGAGCCGCCAGGTTCCACCGAAGCGCAGGCTATCCCTGACGCCGCTGCCCTTAAAGTGGAGCTAATGACATCGCTGAAAGAAGACATCGCCGAGATAATAAAAAAGCAGTTGCAGGAGACGCTCGGGGATTCTTTGTCGACTATCCAGCTTGATCTACAAACCGTGAAAACACAGCTCGCGAATAATAAAGCAGCTACTGATGCTACATTAGCCGAGCTCAAGTGCACCGTGGGAGAAGTGGAAAACGCACTATCTGAATGTTCCGATGACATTGCTGTGATGAAAGCAACA